ACCTTTTTGTTGGTAATCATAACATTACTCAAAAGTAATTCAACTATCTACTGTTTATCGCGAACAGTTGCTGCAAAACATCCATCATGAATTGTCTGTCGATTTTTTAAGTCACTCATTGGAACGAAGACTGAATGAAATTAAGATGAATTTTCAAATCCAATGCTGTTTCATATTCGTTTATTCTCAATTTATATTTCCTCGGTATATCAGATAGTTTGTTTCTAAATATATTAATCTGAACATTTGTATTTTATGTATTCTAATTTTTCTTCACAAAATAGGTATTGCGAATTCTGACTAATCCACCGTACACTCATCGACAATTTCGGATTGTTGCTTTGTCCGCCACACCTGCAGCTGATATTGAAGGGGTACAAACACTGATTGCAAACTTACTTATATCCCATCTTGAGCTTCGAACTGACACTAGTGCCGACGTCCGACCATACACACAACATCGGGAGCTAGAAGCAGTAGTTGTTCCTCTTGGTCCGGAACTGACACGGTATCGTAATCAATTAATTGAGTGTATTCGTGTGCCCCTCGATAGACTTTACCAACATCGTGCACTCTCAGAGTGTTATGGTGATCTTCGTCCAGAAAAACTAGCGAAATACACAGTTATTAAAGCACGAGAAAAATGGTCTTCGCAAACGTTTCCTAGTATTAATTCAACAGAAAACAGTTCAATTCAGTGTGACTTCGCCGTAGTTATATGTTTGCTTCATGGCTTGGAACTGTTGGTTCAACATGGGTTACGTCCCCTCTATCGCTACTTAGAGGGTGTTTATTCTGGAAATCGAGCTAGTCCATTGGTTAGGAGTCAGCTTAACAGACTTCCAAATATGAATCATTTATGGATAGAATTAGCTCAGCGATTCGGCATGAATGTAGAATGCACTGACGGTACTTGGAGGCAAGAGTTAATTCATACAGATCTATTGCATTCCCAAGCACCTTTTTTGGCTGGTCATCCCAAACTTGATAAACTAAGAGATGTTTTGCTCAGTCATTTTGAAGACAGAAAAAACACGCATGAACGAAGCTCCACACGCGTAATAGTTTTTACGCAGTTTCGCGACTCGGTTGAAGAAATTATGCATATGCTTAAATCATTAAGACCACTAATTAGACCTGCATCATTTATTGGACAAGGAACAAGAGTAAATGGAAGTCCTCAATTAAATAATCAACATGAGTCACCCAGTTTGAAAAACCCGCGACTGTCAAATGCCCAGGGTGGAATATCACAACGTGATCAGATACGTGTTATGGATGGTTTTCGGTCAGGCGTTTATAACACCCTAGTGTCAACGTGTGTCGGTGAAGAGGGTATTGATGTTGGACAAGTTGATCTAATAGTTTGCTTTGATGCTTCAAAATCACCAATTCAACTAATGCAACGTCAAGGTCGAACTGGTCGCAAGCGTCTGGGACGTATTGTTGTGCTACTAACAGAAGGTCGTGAAGAAAGGAATCATGCCGTTAGTATCGCGAGAACTTCTTCTGTTCACAAAGCTTTGCTTGAGGGAAACGCTTATTGTAAACTTGCTTTCTATCCACATAATCCAAGAATGGTACCGATTGGTGTTCATCCTAAACTCCAGTTCAAATGTTTACGAACAGAGAAATTTTTTACCAATCAAATATCGAGACAAAAGCAGCCAGGTGTTCAGAAGAGTTCGTATGAAGACATCTACAGATTGCATGCGGAGTCTGTTAAACTGGATAGGCTGCATATTAGGTTATACCCCCCTTCCTTAGGTCGAATTCAACATATATCAAAATTTGATGATGTGGATACTTTTAATTCAGACCACCCAACAGTCACAGACATTTACAATCTGACATCTCAAGAAAGATTAGCAGTCTTCAGAGAAACTATGCAATCTAGTCTAATTCCAGGATCAAATGTTGGTTCATCCTCTTCGTCGCAACACCTCATGTCAATCCTCCGGCTAGTTGAAATGCATCGTCGTAGTATGACACAACTTTCTTACCATGCTCTGGGTATACGGAAAATTGATATTAATACAAAAATGAGTGAATTATTAAAAATAAGTTCTTCGCCACCCAACAGCCAGTTAGATTTGCATAGCTCTTCACAATGTCATCATGATCTTGATGAATTGACTACAATCAAGACTACCAATACTCTGCCAGCTTCAGAGATATCCAACCCGGTATTAGATATTATCCAAGATCTTAGAATAGTCAAAGGTTTAGTGTCTAACAAAGTATTTTTTGACCCTCATCTTAACGAACTAACCGACTGCACAAAACAGTTCACTCAAATACTTCATAATATTAACGCTAATAACCATGAGCCTATTACAATGGCATCCCTACAAACTGCACTAAATAAGTGGTTAGAGTTCATGATTGATCAAAATCACAGTTCACCTACAATTTCTTCAAGCCCAAAGTTGAATCTTAAGCTAAGTATAGAAAATAGTTTACTTGAAGCAATTAATACAAAACTACCGAATTCTGAGGAAAACTCTCTAACCACGAAGTGCCTTCACACAATTGATAGTCGATTTCACGATAAGCAGCTAAAAGATATTGTTCAAAATTTCAGCCTACCTAATACAGTGATTAGCTTAGCTCAAAGCACTCCTTTTGGACGAAGTTGTGTAAAGCCACCTATGATTTCTTCATCTAGTCAAGTTAATCCTGATGAAGCGTTAGCTTTACTGGAGAATTCAACTATTCACCTGGATGCATCAACTTTATTAGATGAAGAACTAACGAATCCTGAGCTTCCTACTACTACCCAAAGTGTTATTTTTGCTGGTTCACCATTTCGGCAGTTGAGCGGTTTCCACAAATCAGTCGATCTTTTTACTTTTGAAACAAAACTCTCTTTAGGGTCAGAGCTGGGTGATATTATTAGGCCTACCCAAACCACTGAAAAAATGGACACCTATAATGATGTGGACAGATTAAAAAACGGTTGTTTCTCTACTGCTTCCAACAGTTCTTTTGACTCACAAATTAATTGGTCCCCAGTAGAACAGGTAACAGAGGTACTTAATACAGATGATTTATTATATTCGTCGTCACCAATAAAACTAAACAACATTGAAACCGTTCCTAAAAATGAAACCAAAAACAACAACTCTAGTGAAACTACTGACAAAGAATTATCGGGAATATTTCACGAAAGTGTCAGCGAGTTTACATTATCGAACCGGTTGAACAAAAAAGTGAGAATCAAAAATACTAAATACGCTGGATCTAAATTGTTTTTATCACAGGCTGAGTGTACGAGTAATGAGTCATCTGACCAGCTTCATTCTGAAGATCAAGATATGTATGATGACAGTTTCATAAACGACGAATGCGCGAATATCACGTGCGATTCATCTCGATCTGACATGAAAATTTACCTCCAGAGCATTCAGAGTCCACAAATATTTCCAGGCAATGTCAGAAACCCATGGGTCAGCAAAAGAGACATTTTGCCGAAAATATCTGAGAAGTGTGATGATATGCCAAATTCCTTTATATTTTCGCAGGTTAGTTCGTATGTTACACATCATTTCAATGATATAGTTTTGTACTTTTCTTAGTCATATTTCTATGAGTCTACGGTGATACCTCAGTAATAATATGATATTAATAGTGCTCTTAGAAGACCGAATCTTATTCGGTATTTACGAGAGTCCTATGTATAGCGGTAAAATTGGTTTAAATGTCAGGTTCTTTTATACTATTGATCATGAAAACGTATAGCAGTCTTGTGGACTAGACAGTGCTGCTCATCAAGATGCTTGCTTGCTTCCGTTTGTACACCTAAAGCACCAAACAAATTACGAGTGCTAATCGAGCTTGCCATAAACGATGACATCTCCAAATAGATATACTTGGCCATCATTCTAAACCTTGTTACTTGCATATGTTGTATCTAAAACAATCAGTACCGTAAGGAAATTTTCGGACTGTCAGTTACAGTGTTTCATGCTTGCTTACGTCTGACGACGCTAATGGAACCAGGTTTTTTAATGCCACTTAGAATTTAAAAGCAAGATTATATGACTGGATTCCAGCTACTAAGTTGTCTCTAAACAACTGCGTAATCAGGCTGAGTTAAAATTGTCTGTTCTCTTTTGGCTATTAATTTGAACGAACGCTAACAGATTAGTTATACAACTAATCACACCTCAGGTATTGTAGTTCAACATAAAAAACGCCTGTGTATAATTGAGAGCACAGATATTTACGACAGCCGCGTATCAGGACATATGAGTAATTGCCAGTTGTGGATCGAAAAATATGGACAACATGTAGCTTCGCCCCGTTCACAAGCTTTCATCTGTTTTTACCAAGTTTAGAACCAGAATTTTTCCAATTCTTCGGGTCCGTTTGATTTCGGGCAATCCATTTTGTCTTATTAGACAAACCTGATTTCCAGTTGGTTTGGATTTTTAGGAATTCAACAGGAATGACTAGATCCGTTGACATGGAGAACGGCAATATGTATCTGACATCCAAAAAGTGTTAAACCTATGATTCAATCAATTCTGATTAGTAAATTGTATGGTAACACTTAGTGATGCTTATTGTAACTCTTAACGCTATATATATATATATATATATATATATATATATATATATATATATATATGCAATCTAATATTACGTTTAGTGTGCACAAAATCTTTACAGAAATCATTCAATCTTTGTTGTAGACCCCAGAACAGGATGAATATCAGATGGATAGTTTTTGTGTAGACGATGATGACTCTTTTTCATTGCATAAAGAAACTCCCAAACTCTTAGCTTCCAAGCCAAACAGAAGACGTATTCGAACTGGTACTCAGATTCAACAATCTTTCTTTTAATTGTATATAAACACTAGATTTCCATGAGAAATTATTTCAAATATACTATATTCAATATTTTCAGATCTACAAACTAGGTCTTTCACGTAAATAAGTGTTAGACAGGACTAGGATAAAATATGGAGCGTTGTATACATTTGGGAGACTACATCAATGCACTTGCTTCAATGATTCCGGCATAGATGGAGGTGGGGGACGCGGCAACTGCATAGCTACTTTAAAGCCATCATAAATGAACCATTGTAAGGCTGTTAATGTTCCAATCATGATAATACGAGGACCCAATCCGCTCCACATACCTTAATTAAAAATTAAAAAAGATTGTTAAGTACATATCTAGGCGGTCAACTTTAAGTTAAATAGATTGTGTGGTGATTAATGGTATTGCTGAGGTCTCCAAACCAATGTAAACGAAACGGAATCCCGACTAGCAAAACAACCATTAAGAGTAGATGATTGACACTACTCAATCCCAAAATATTATATATCTTGTGAAAATTAGCGCTTAGGTTTTAAGGTAAGAGGGAGCACATATTTGATATTACCTCGGATATAAACAACACGGGTCTATTTAACAGATAAGCTATTTGATAGAAAAGCAATGAATTGATGATTCGGATAGTAGACTGACAGAATTCAGAAGACTAAAGTAAGAGAATATTTGTGAGTGGTAACAAGATGAGTTTTGGTTCTTCAGTAAGCTGTCTTCAGAATGAATTCCTCCAACTTTTAGTGATGGCATCTGGTTTTTACTGATGTAAGGCCAATAGTTGAACCTCAAGTAATTTAAAACGCTAGCTTGACGGTCCGGATGACGCCTTATGTCTCAGTCAGTCAGTAACAATTTAGAACTTCGTACATACGTACATCAGTTCCAATTGCAATACAACATTAGCACAGAGATGCAGTGGTCAATTCAAATCCCGTAGTGGTAGAGGTAGCAAGCGTATAAGCAGTAATCGGGAAGATTAGGGTTTGGAGATGTTATTCAAGGAGTATAATCCAGTGAAATAAATTTGGAAAGAGGAAAAAAGAAAGGGACATGAAGAATTCAGAAGATTAGAATTTGGGAGAACACAAAGAGTGGGTGCACCTGCACCACTGCAAACGATTTTGAGCCATGTTACTCAAGGTCTCTAACCATCGGTTGCTATCATCTCGTGGTCCCCAACCAGGTAGTCTACACCTACCAACATGACTCAGTCTACTTGTCAGTGACTTCATGGACTTGTGCCATGTTTTGGTCTGGCCGCCCCTAGCTTTCTTCCAACCTACTCCTATACAATAAAACGTCGCACATCGAGGCAGTCGGTCGTTGGGCATATGTAACACATGTCCCAGCCATCTCAATTGGTGAAGTTTCACTACGTCATCAATTGATTTGCCATCCTTACCTAGTACCCGTTTCCTAACAACTGTGTTACTTACTCGATGGTCCCATGATATACGAGCAATGTTTCGAAGACACCTATGATCGAATACTAGTAACCTACGAATATCCTCTACTCTTACCGGCCATGTTTCACTGCCATAAAGTAGGACTGGACGAACTGCTGCGCAGTAAACACGTCCTTTGGTTGATAGACCGATATCTCGCCTACGCCATAAATGACGCAAGTTGGCAAAAGCTAGTCGAGCCTTCTGTATCCGTGCTGAGATTTCGTCACACACCAGACCACAAGGGCTGATGAGACTTCCAAGATAAGTGAAGCGGTCGACACACTCAACTACTTCACTCCCTATCACTAGTTCGGGTGTCGATGTAACCCAATCCTGAAGCAACATTTTGCATTTCGAGGGAGAGAATCGCATCCCGAACATGCTTGCATTGTTGCTTAGAGTGGTCAGAAGACTCTGCATTTTGTCAGCGTCTTCATCAAATAAAACTATGTCATCTGCATATTCTAAGTCAACAAGTGAACCTCCCGGTAGAAGTTCAACCCCTGGAAATTTAGATGAGGAAAGTGTTATCTCTAAAAGTACGTCGACCACAAAGTTGAACAAGAATGGGGAGAGTGGACAGCCCTGACGAACACCACTTGTGGTAATCGATTCTGATGACAGTTCGCCATAAGCTCTCACTCTACCAGTTGTGTTCGAGTAGAGAGCCTTTATAAGGTTAATGTACTTCTTTGGTACTCCTTTCAGTGATGACAAACACTGCCATAGAATCCCACGGTCAACAGAGTCGAATGCCGCCTTAATTTCGAGATATACTACGATGGTGGGGCGTCTGAACGAGTGTCTGTGTTCTAGAATCTGACGTAGTGTGAATATCTGATCTATACAACCACGTCCAGGTCGAAAACCAGCCTGGTTTTCTCTAGTCTGCTCTTCACGAGCTTTAGTTAAGCGTCGAAGTATTATTGAGGCTAATATTTTAGACACTATATTAGTCAGACTGATTCCTCTGTGATTGTCACAAGAGGACTTTTGTCCTTTCTTATAGACTGGCGCAATCAGTGATTGAGACCAGTCAGATGGGATTACGTCCAGTTCCCAAATTCTACCTAAGACCTCGGTTAATCTCATTGCTAATACTGGACCACCATCCTTAAAAATCTCAAAGGTAAATCTGTCAGGGCCTGCCGCTTTCTCACGCTTCAGATCCAGTTTTTTCAACCTCGTAAAGAGTCGGAGGACTTACATTAACTTGCCAATCAGGTCGAATGAAGATCGTGGGAAACCGAAGTGTGGCTGAAGGCCAGTTGAACTGATCGCTAGTGTTTTGCCCATCGATCCAATCTCCTGGATTGAGAATGAATAATATGTTCATCTTTATGCTTTATGTATACCATTTTAGGTAACCTTAAAAATGAATACCCTTTGGAAAAGCGGCTTCAGACTGAGTATATACCTAGATAATCGTTAAGCGTGTTAATTTATGTTTGAAAAGACCGTCAGACACATGAAAGGAACTAAAATAATAGGATGACTTCTTTCTTCTGCAATTCATGATTACATTCAAGAATTACCAGTTGAAGTATGGAAATAGCCTTTTTAGTTTAGTCTTAATCACTTTGTGTCATATGAAAAAACAAAAACATTAATTTGATCAAAGTGATTTCTAAGATCTTTGGGTATAGTCATTCAAGATGTGTTAGTACGACACTTTATCGGAATAATGGATGACAATAGTTTATTTATGCCTAGTTTACATGAACAAAATCGACTTGCAGACAGAAGAGGTTAAGTTATGGAAATCAGAATTATGTATTTAACTTCCTAACAGTCGAAGTGTGTTGTACCTACATAAACTAGTCAGGATACGTGAAAACAGGACATGATAATCATCTGTGGTCATGTTATGTGTTTAAAAAATAATCCAACTGAATAAATCACCACAAACGACGTTGGCTTTCTTTAAAATTATATATCGTTCCCTCTTTAATCAGGGTACTGGTTCACAATCGATAGGGTCTTGTGACTTACCGCTATAAGCCTAATTTATATTCATGTTCTTTATTCGTTGCCTTAAATACTAATTGGTAAGCAGGCCCATTTTCCATAACATTTTTACTGCAGTACTATTAATCATATATTTGAGAAACCGAGTTCTGGAATTAAGCTCTAACTGTTTAAAATAGTTTCGTACAGACTCTAGTTTGGTGGCAATATTCTTTTAGATAAACCAACTTATAGACTCAATATTGTGTGATAGTAAACCCCTTTTTAGCGCTTGATAAATCTGAGTGCCATGAACATACATATCTTAAAGGCATTGGGAAGGTTGATGGGGCCACTGAGGGTACAGTGCTCAGGGTTCCAGGAAAACATGGTAATTTAGTTAATGAGATTGTTATTCTCCAACTGAAGTGGCTGGGACATGTATTATGCAGATGCAAAAACCCTTAACACGCAGTGTTGTCTGCCATAAGAATAGGTCAGTAGAAGGATAGGAAGTCAGACCGAAACGTGGCATCGGTCTGTGAAGTCAGTGACTGTTGGATTGAACAGTGTTAGTAAGTGAAGTCTATCAAATTGGAGTCAGTGAGATGATAAACAATAGTTGGAGACTATTTGATATGGCCCAAAATCGATCACAGTAACACAGACGCATTCGTTTTGTTTAACACCGGATATAATTTCAAGATTTCTGAAGTTCTATTCGACAGATTTATTCTTCTCACATTATATGTCACGTGACTAATCATTTTTATAACCACAGATATCACTACTGCATTTGTATTTAACTTCATAATCTTTTCTCCATATGGTGTAAACAATACGCAGTAGCGTGAGCAAGCAAATAATGCATTCACAGGCAGAAACTGCTTGGGAAGAATGTTTCATTTTGCGCACAGTGACTCAGTGAGACCAGCATTCCAGTCACACTTTAAGGAGTGCGCGATCACAAAAGATATGTGATGGCTAGCTTAGTAATGCCACCTGCACAGTGATGTGCCGGTAGAAAATCCGTCTACTGGCAAGTTCCTTCCAAGCAGAAACTGCTTGGGAAGAATGTTTCATTTTGCGCACAGTGACTCAGTGAGACCAGCATTCCAGTCACACTTTAAGGAGTGCGCGATCACAAAAGATATGTGATGGCTAGCTTAGTAATGCCACCTGCACAGTGATGTGCCGGTAGAAAATCCGTCTACTGGCAAGTTCCTTCCAAGCAGAAACTGCTTGGGAAGAATGTTTCATTTTGCGCACAGTGACTCAGTGAGACCAGCATTCCAGTCACACTTTAAGGAGTGCGCGATCACAAAAGATATGTGATGGCTAGCTTAGTAATGCCACCTGCACAGTGATGTGCCGGTAGAAAATCCGTCTACTGGCAAGTTCCTTCCAAGCAGAAACTGCTTGGGAAGAATGTTTCATTTTGCGCACAGTGACTCAGTGAGACCAGCATTCCAGTCACACTTTAAGGAGTGCGCGATCACAAAAGATATGTGATGGCTAGCTTAGTAATGCCACCTGCACAGTGATGTGCCGGTAGAAAATCCGTCTACTGGCAAGTTCCTTCCAAGCAGAAACTGCTTGGGAAGAATGTTTCATTTTGCGCACAGTGACTCAGTGAGACCAGCATTCCAGTCACACTTTAAGGAGTGCGCGATCACAAAAGATATGTGATGGCTAGCTTAGTAATGCCACCTGCACAGTGATGTGCCGGTAGAAAATCCGTCTACTGGCAAGTTCCTTCCAAGCAGAAACTGCTTGGGAAGAATGTTTCATTTTGCGCACAGTGACTCAGTGAGACCAGCATTCCAGTCACACTTTAAGGAGTGCGCGATCACAAAAGATATGTGATGGCTAGCTTAGTAATGCCACCTGCACAGTGATGTGCCGGTAGAAAATCCGTCTACTGGCAAGTTCCTTCCAAGCAGAAACTGCTTGGGAAGAATGTTTCATTTTGCGCACAGTGACTCAGTGAGACCAGCATTCCAGTCACACTTTAAGGAGTGCGCGATCACAAAAGATATGTGATGGCTAGCTTAGTAATGCCACCTGCACAGTGATGTGCCGGTAGAAAATCCGTCTACTGGCAAGTTCCTTCCAAGCAGAAACTGCTTGGGAAGAATGTTTCATTTTGCGCACAGTGACTCAGTGAGACCAGCATTCCAGTCACACTTTAAGGAGTGCGCGATCACAAAAGATATGTGATGGCTAGCTTAGTAATGCCACCTGCACAGTGATGTGCCGGTAGAAAATCCGTCTACTGGCAAGTTCCTTCCAAGCAGAAACTGCTTGGGAAGAATGTTTCATTTTGCGCACAGTGACTCAGTGAGACCAGCATTCCAGTCACACTTTAAGGAGTGCGCGATCACAAAAGATATGTGATGGCTAGCTTAGTAATGCCACCTGCACAGTGATGTGCCGGTAGAAAATCCGTCTACTGGCAAGTTCCTTCCAAGCAGAAACTGCTTGGGAAGAATGTTTCATTTTGCGCACAGTGACTCAGTGAGACCAGCATAAGTGTAATGCACTTATCAATGACAGAAAAAATCTTACCCGACCATATAATCAGATAAGTTGATTAAGCACGAATGTTTGTGAAGTATATATGTTTTGTGAGAATGAATTAGTAACCATTCGACTTGTTTATAGAATAAATCTATTCTCAAATCAAAGGGTTGTGGGCAGGAGGACAATACATTTTTTTAAATAACTAAAATACATTTAGTTAGTATTATATTCTGAACTGAGTAATCTTAGGAATTCATTTACTTAGACCCTGTCTAGCTAAGTTGTTTGATCAGGGGTTCCCCCTGGTTAATTCATTTGAACTTGTTGGTATGCTTTATTAATGTTGAATTCATAGTCTGATTTTATTATTACCTACGTGATTATTCATCAATTTAAAAGATGCATATCACGTATATTGGCTCACAAAAGTGAAATAGGGAGGTTTGGGATCCTAATTTGTACTTGCATATATCTACGGTGTCTAATTTTGTTATTTGGTTAAATAATGCTGAAGCTTATCTTCTGGGAAGCAGCGTTCACTCTGTAAGTAATAGATTTTTGGACATTGCTTGATGAACTTGTTATGAACTAAGAACCAACTCTAGAAATGGTCATGAAACAAGTGACTGAAGTTGAGAAGCCAGTCAGTCAGCTACAACGTAGGACGAGGCACATATATACATCGGTCCAAGTTGCCATACCTCATTGACACAACAAGATGAACACCAAATTCATAGTAGTTATATATATATATATATATATATATATATATATATATATATATATATATATATATATATATAAGAAATATTGTGTATAAGGATACAATACAGGAAGAAAAGAAGGTATAAAGTAATTTTAATCTCATTATTTAAAGGAAGACAAAGAGTGTATACACCGACGCTATTGTGATCGGCTCTGAGCCATGTTACCCAGTCTCCAGAAGTTAAGAAGCATTTCATACTGCTTAATTTCACATTGTTGTTTGGTGTGATTTTCGTGTCAATGATGTTTTACCAGCATTGATTTAACTAAGGCATATTTGCTTGTGCGACATTTTGAAGTTGTAAAACAGAACAATTAGAATCCACTGTCCGGAATACGAAACAAATTGTTAATCTGCTGCTATTTTTGCAGAATACCCCGTAAGATAAAATGAATTTGAACTAAATATTAGTGTTAAAAATTAAGGTAGTACTACTCCTAAAATATTCGCCTAAGGAGAGTAAAGCATGTCACCAATTCTTGATATTCTTACAGAATAGGACCACACACTAGTTATCATTATTCCTAGTTGTCGCACAGGTAAACAAACTAAAGAGAAGTCAGGGTAGTGATCCTAATATTAATAAGTAGAGTAATGAAAGGCAAGTGAAAAATAAGCTTAAGGAAAACAAGGAAAACAGGAAGATGAAAAGTATCCAATTACACATTGTTGACGACTTACAGATGAACAATATCTGGATCACTGTGACCGTGTCTTATTTATATCATTTTTTCTTTGTCATTGGTTAGTGCCCGACTTCCAGTGGGAAAGCATGAAGGGAACAAAGAAGGCGAAGCTATCGATCTTGACCCTTCTAAATTCTTACGCTACTTATTCAGACAGTAAACAAACGACAAATGACAAGAGTTCGGCTTCGAAATTTACATAACTTTTAGAACTTCAGGCTATTTTGTTGAATAACGACCAATATATATTTTAAGGATGGATTGTGAAAATTGGAGTCTGAAGACCACACTTGGATTCTGTAGGCGTACTTCAGAAGTTTGAGATAAGCTCCTAAAGATTTTAGCATTTAGCTAATGAAATGCCGTCTTGTTTGACACAAGGCCAGAATACAGGAATTAATACTTTTATTGCAGAGTCAATTAAATTAGGTAGTGAAAACCAGGAAAATGGAGTGAACGATGAGAATCGGTGACGAATGGAACTGAAGTGTTGTTGGTGTATAGAGGTCTTGAAAGTCGTCTATCAGTGGTGGTGTTATCGACCTGGAAGAACGACCATCGGGTTTAAATGGAAACTAGCCACTACATATATCTTCTTTTTACATATTTGCTTCTAATGTTTGCACAAAGTCGCGTTCTCTATGAGCAAAATTCCAGCAAGCATATTGGTTTAGTTCTATTGTTGAACCTCGGATTTATAAACCATACTAGACTTTCTTGGCCACTTAATTCTTTTGTGTGAAGATAGCATTGCCAGAATTACTAACTACTTATGATACTCTACAGACACTTCTTTGGAAGATATAACACTTATTATGATTTGAAATGTAACCCTTTCAGTCTTACGGACCATTAGTCGGTTAGTAAATTAAATCAACTACGTTTACTAGATAACGAGCGGAAAGTCAAAAGCTCTGTAAGATCTATCGATGACTTACCCATTAGCCCCAAATTTTTGGCAACTTCCACCAGGCGTGCATTTGGATCCTTATTTAATTTCGACACTATTGTGTCAGGAGGATGGGATACGATAGCACAAAATACACCCGCTATGGATATAAGGAATTTACAAACTTTACTTACCGATGTAACCCGCTGCAAAAGTTACAACTAACTGTTCACTTTTCGAACATTTTTCGCGTGGTTTTGGTACAACATGCTTGTACAGTGCTTCCACAGTGCGTTCGAAGCAAGCGAACTTCATCATTGTGTACGGAATTTGTCGTCCCCATAGCGGAGGAAGACCCTTGTAGAATCCAACAAGGCCTTCATTTCTGTACATTTTTGGTACACCTTCTCTGAGTGTACTAGCCCAACCCGGCATTGTTTGTATTCGTACTTTCACAGCTTCCATGGGACAAAGCATAATATCAGCGAAAAATTCTGCACTGGCACTGGCCGCCAGGTACACAGATGTTCTCCATAAATACGCGTTTTCCTTGACAAGATTTCATGAGTAGAATATTAAGTAACCTACTTCAGATAGGAAACCGTTGTATATGTGTTTGAACACTTCGTAAAACCCAAATTTTCCCAGTCCTTGGAGAGAGTACCCAAAAAACGTTGGTGCCCAACCCTTTCCTAAACCTCGTATGCCTTCTTCGGCAATGGTGATTTTAAATCCATGAGAAATATTTTTATATTTAGCTCGGTCAACTTGCAAACGACATTTAACCAGATCCAATGGGACTACTCCGGTGTGTGTGAGACCACAGCTTAGAACTCCACCGAGACCACAAAGCGCGTAATACTTAGGTGTGCCATATTCACAGCTGGCTTTTTCAGACATTGCTATTCCGAACAAAATAAAGCCGCCGCAACGTTGCAGAGTCGAAACAGGCGCCTTGCGAACTGCACTGACTTCGGAAAACAGAAACGTACATACAATAGGGAAAAACAAGAGTGAAAAATGAAATACATTTATTATGAAATTTCGATAGTTTAAGAAGCTATGTTTATAATGGTTTAAACTATCTGCTCCTAGTTTCGATTTCCAGATTGCCTTAATCTGAGGTCTGTGTTCTGTCTTCCGTAATGAGGATAGTAAATCAGGAAACCTCCATTAATCCCTAAAGCTTACTCTCCAGTGAAGGCCCAGCTAACTTTTGAAAACGTTCGTTTGTTCAGTTGAAGTGTTCTAGTCAATGACCACTCGTTGAGAAAACGGAACAACACTCTGAGTTTATTGGATCGTTGTTTTCGAACCTACTTGCCATGGTCTCGAAGATGAGTAATTCTGGAGAGGGCAAAAATATGAGATCGACATCCAAATTGCTATTAAAGAATATGAAATTCTAGTATAAAGTCTCCTGGCGTTGTACAATACGTCAGGAGGGAAGAGTTCTGGTATTTTAAACGCCCATCATAAGGGACTTTGTAAAGACCCTTCACTAACTAACATACGATCGGGTGTGTCGCTGTCCTGAATAAAACGTGGACAATGTGCTTAGATGCAATAATCTAGGTGTGGTCTAATATAGATGGGGTATAAAATCCGAAAGCTCTCCTTGATAAAGTATTTAAATACTTGGTGAAATAACCATAACGCTCAAAAACGTTCGACAGCTGTTGTGTTGCAATATGCAGTTGTCTTTAGATCGTGACTTACTGTTACTGCAAGTTCTTCTTGTTCCTGCGCTCACGAGGGCGATATACCGTTGGTAGTATTGTAGCGACAAATAAAGCCCCAAAATAAATAGCTCTGTAAGTTTTCGACATTGGATGCTGACCACATTAGTTTTAGTGGACTCAACTAGCCGAAGGCGCTCGGTCAGGCATCGGCACCAGATCATGAGTGGGAACGCCGTGCTCAACAAACCCTGCAATCGCTAGCCAGATTAGATCAGACGATCCTCGATATATTGATAGCCTATCAAATATATCTTCGAACATTTTCGCTTCTGTCTTTTGATTTCACTTGGTGGGTATGATTCATATTAGGTGTTACTGGTTAAAGCGTTGTCAAACTCCGAATACCTGTGGCATCTATATTGGTGAGCCTAAAGTGATCTGGTACACCGAATTGTAAACTGTGAGTCAGTTCCTATTTGAAATTCTGAATATTGTTGCGTTGTATTAATTTTTTATGCAGTGTGATATTTTCCCCCGCATTTTTGATATGTTTTTTCACTCGTTCATTCTCGTACATGATACTGCAACATGACGGAACAGACACCCAAGGTACTTAAGCTAAAGACTTTATCCCCACATTCGTTCCAACAATGCCCTTCTGGCCAAACAACATCGAAGCCTGGTTCTGCTACGCAGAAGCCGACTTCTACGAGCACGGTGTGAACGACACACGTGCACAATTCCTCACAATAGTTAAGGCACTACAACGAGAATTCAACAGATACACTTGAGTTCACGCGCGCTTTTTTGAAGGTTATAACTTTTTTCACGTGGTATTATTTTATTTTCCTCTTGGTTTTTCCCTTTAATTTAACATTTATTGGCGATATATAATTCGTCACTGATAAGGTTCTATCAGCTTGAAACCTCATTTTGGGACTCAACGCCATACATTAATTTTGCTAGTTTTCACGCCGTCTATCTCTTATCACTAATTAACGCTAATATATTTGCTCTTAACTAATACGGGATCTGATCCTACCACAGAACTTTACACGTCTATTAAGTTAAATTATAACTATCGCTGTTCACTTAGTTAAACTTTATATTTACTTTACAATAATAATGTCCAGACCATCTAAAAAACGTACAATCTCTTCTGATGCCTATAGCACCTGCAAAAGATCTAGATCCGTCACTAAAGCGAATAATGTGAAACCCTATAAAGACACTGATCATTCTGCATTCTACTCTGATCTTCCTTTAGCTACACTAAACGTGCACCGTTTACTGGCGCATGACATATCACTACCTTGTATGTCGCTTGTACATTTAAATAAGAGCAGTTACACACTTTTAGTGTCGACATCATTTGTCAGTCCAAACAAAAGCATCACATGCTGTGAGCATTATTTAAACAGTGAGGCTGACCCCAAACACCCTGTTTTATCATAGGCCATCCTGAGTAGCGGCCCACGGAGTACATGTAAGCCCGCATACATAATCCAGCTCGATGATGTAGGTCTTGACTACTCACCCAGATATATACTCCATTCCCCAACTAAGTACGCACAAGGTTAACACCCGGTAGACACCTGCAACAGGTCTGTATGTAACCATATCGACCTTAAAAACTTTGATACGAATTCCAACAATCTCACCATTGGTAGATCTAAAAGCAGCCAAATAGAACTCAGTCACACTCATATATCATTTGAAGTGTTGAAAAGACTTCAATGTATGCAGAATGTCATTGTGTATAATATACCTGATAGTGCGAAAGTACAGACTGCTAAACACACTCTACTGCAAGAATGTGGATTGTCACAATCTTGGTGTGTAACAAGAAGATTACGTAAAGTACTCACTAAAGCCTCATGTCCCATTCTATTTCAGTTTGGTAGTACCACTGAAGCTAATAACCTCCTCAATAGTCAGTCATTACTGAGGCGTATTCCAACATTTAAGAATATTAGAATAATCTATGACAGGACTGCTATCCAGCATCGAATCTTCAATGGAACACAGACTAATCAACCCAGCCTACGCAGCCGCAGCAGTTACAGCGTTTGCCACTGCACAAATCCTAGAATACCGTACCCTACCCCTCCCAAAAACGGAGGCACTTCGGAAGCTGCTATTAGTCTCAAGAACAAGACTGCACATAAAGCAGCTGCAACCACTCATCCTCGGCCCAAACACTCAGCTATCTCAAAATGCCAATCCACTTATGCCTCAATAGTGCCCTAGCGGCCTCGATGAAAAGCCTAAAAGTGATCCTCCCAGGAATTGCGTTAGCAGCTACAAAAGCTCAGACACAGCTGTACGAAATAATACTAAATTATCTGTAAAACCCCCGAATACTCCAGCACCCCTAATCGAAAACATGCACCTTTTCATAGCAGTAGAATGCCCTACAACGAACATAGTGAACTTGCAGTACCCACTCATCCTAACGTGAAAGGACACTCGACAAGAACCAAACCTACACGTGATACCTTTAATTCATATATTGTGAACCTTGCAAGCTCCATGAACCAGCACACAATTACATACAACAGAAACACCTCTCTTGGCAACAGTATCAAGCAATCCTTCATTCCTTACCAGTAACACACAACCTCCTAACTACCCATAATAGGATTAAAATTGCCCACGGCACACAAGGAAGCCATAACGTTGGCCTACTTGGGGACCCACCTACTGATTCTAGATACTATCTAAGTTAAGCCACCCAACACGAATCGTTAATCCCTCCAAATTCGACATATACACCATCTCATCCTTTTTTATCTCTCTCCCCTCAACAGTGCTGGTATGGGGTCTCCAAATGTTGAGAGCGACAATCCTACTATTCTGAGAGCATCTATCTACTCCGACCTAATGGGAAGTGGCACGTCTTTCTCAACGTCGATAACTGTCTCTAGTCCTAAAAGCTCCTTGACTGAGCCTCCTGATCACTCCCCGAACCAACTACCTAACCATTCAACTCTATCTTTCATTCTTAAACATACTTCTTTCATCAACCTAACTATCACGTCCAAGTTTTTGCTCGTTCCCTTTATTGAAGTACGGTATGTCGATCGACTTGCAATTCACGAACCCAAATTAACAATAGGAGCGAATTCCAATTAGATACCTAAGTTTATTCGCGATTTACAAATATTCGACCCAAATGTCGTTCTAACAACAGTAATTATAACAATTACAAAACAAGCCTTCAATTTTGTAGGTTTCCTGAGCAAAAACTCCCAAATACCAAACCAATGACAAAGAGAAACCAAAATGTCCGAAGTTAATGGTATAAACAAACAAGTTCAGAGGTTAAGTAAAACAAATACATCCAAAAACACAGTAAAATTATTAATATACAAAAAAAGGTTTTAATCTGACAAATGTCTTCAGTTCTCCCGTGACCCTAACCTCCAACTGCTTTTACATCATACCCTTCTACTAGACAAACAGTCACCGTACCTGACATTTATGTTAATCAACGCTCGATCTGTACAATGTAAGATGACTCACCTACGCACCCTATTACTTTTGGACAACCCTTCACTTTTTTGATAACGGAAATTTGGCTGTCCTCAGATATCACAGACTCACATCTACAAACTGACACCTATGAGCTCTTCCGCTGTGATCGAGTCACCAAGAAGGGTGGTGGTTGTCTTGTTTATGTATCAGAAAGTTTGAGAGCGGAAATCTGTAGCGACCATGTTTTTAACAAACTTCCTGATTCGATATGGCTTACTGTGCACACTCATGAGTGTAAAATACTAATCGGATGCATATATCGAGCTCCTAACACTCTTAGTTCAACTGACACTATTATAAGTGAGTCATTTGCTCAGGCTGCCTCGCTTGACTACACTTACAAAATTGTATGTGGTGACTTCAACCTTCCCACCATCAACTGGAAAACACACTCTGACCCATTGTGCTTTGAAAGCATACTTAGGTCCTTAGACATACACGGCTGGCAACAACATGTACACCTGCCTACACGAAATCACAACATTCTTGACTTGATATTCTGTCATAATGTCACACCAACATCAATGGTAGTTGGCGAAAAGTTTCACAACAGCGATCATAAAATAGTCCTCTACACCCTTCCGATTACTGCCATGTGCAAAAAATTAAAGACATTAAATACGTGTTTCCAATATAGAGACTATGCAAACGCTGACTAATAAAACTTTCAATTTCTAATAA